TTTTTTCATTACTTTACATCTTATTTCTTCATCAGTGTACACATTTTTTTTTTTTTTTTTTTTTGGTGGGACCCTCGCTGGCGGCCAGAGAACGAACCCGGCTGCAGAGAATGCGGGCAGCCTCAAAGCCCAGCGCTCAACTGCTGGGCCACCGGGGAGGCTCCAGTGTACAAAATTTAATAAAAGATGACCACTTCCAAAATATTTGAATTCTGATAGAGGGGAAAAATAGATATGTAAAAGAAAATACTAAAAGACACTGACTGTTACTCGTGAAAATACCAATTTCTAGCAAATATTAACATGACCCTTGATAATGTTGCTGTATAACAATTTCTAGATCTCTCTCTCTATATATAGAATAGAACAGAGATCTCTCTAGATAGATAGATAGATAGATAGATAGATAGATAGATAGATAGATAGATAGATAGACCTCCGTTCTATTCTCCAGGGATGTGGGATAAATCCAAACGATAGAGTGACTTTGTGATTTTTGCATAGAAAACTTGAATCAATTAACAATATATTACTTCTCTGCCTTGTTCTGCAATAATGGAGCTAGATCCTATAATCTTTCCCCCCGTGTCAGCACACATGATGTTAACTTTCACTGTAAAAGGCATGGGGAGATGCTGCAGGGAAGGGGCCCTTCTTCCAGGCGTCCTGGTGTTTCCTCTCCATGGGCTGACAAGGTGCAGCTGTCAGGGGCACATGCAGGAATCCCGCGGTGCTCACCAGCCAGCAAGCTTGTGTCCTCTGTGCCAATCACAGTCCTGCCCTCCAGCCTCCGCCTGTTGACATTCTGGCAGGGAGTCTCCTTCTCGCTAATTCCAACAGCAGTAATGTGAGGCCTTGAGTGAGGAACTGCTCTTTTCCAGGATCAACAAGTGAGCGCTCCATGAATTCATCTGCAGCCACATCCTCTTTCAGTGAAGCCTAAAAGTCTTCCTCAGAGAGAGCTGGGACCCAAGTGGTTCCTCTTTCGGGTACTCTTCCTTAGCCCTAAGGTGTACTTTGTAATTTTCGTTTTTTTTAATAAATTTTATTTTTATATTCCCCATACAATTACAATCCCCTTATTTTGACCCCAATCCCTTCCCTCTCCGCCCCCCACCCCCCATAGGGTGTCTCTAATTTTCTTTTATTCCCTTTCGGGAAGCTAGTCCCTACTTGGTGTTATTCTTTATATCAAACTTTCCCTGGTTTCTGTCTTCTCACTCATCAGGACACATTCATCTCCCTTCCTTGGGTTGTTGGATCCTGATTATTAACAACTTCAAAGGCTAGAGCCAATCAATTAACTTGAAAATAAGAGTGGAATAATTCACCTTATTGAACATATACAATAAGTTTTGATCATGATTTATAATTTAGACATGCTTTATTTTAATAAACAGTGGCAGATTTAGAGATGTGTAATATGTACCTATTTCATATTGTATATGAGTAATGATTTAAAAAAAAATACTGCAACACCAAGGTTGACACTTGAGGACTTCAGTGATTATTGTAAATCCATGTTGATTCATCCTCTGTAACAGATGCACCATTTTGGTTAGTGATGTTCTTCTGGGGGAAGAGGGGGGAAATAAGTCCCTAGAGGCACAAGGAGGTATGGTAATTGTCTATGTCATCCCCTTAATCATGTGGTAAACCTAAAACTGCTCTAAAAATAATCATTAGATAATAAAACACACAAAAATATCATGTGACTTTTGAAGAAACAAGAAACATGTTCTTAAGAGTTAGTGAGAATGGCATATACTAACTTTAGGTAAGCTCATGTACCCAGTGCTTACATATATTTTTTTGTTTGTTTCTGAACAGGATTCAGGAAAAAGCAGATTATCTTGAATATTGAAATATGCATATTTTTTGTCTTGCAATGATAATATTGTCAATCTGAAATATAGAATACAGTACATAATTAATCTTGGCAACATATAACAATTTTTTGAAGAATTAGCAATATTATTGATTACTCATTACATACTTAAAATCTGAATCTCCTGTTATTTCTCAATGGAAACAAATATTTGTTCACATATTGCTCAGATGAAATCCTTCAAGTCACAAAATAGAAGAGTTCTTAAGAAACTTATAGTTTGGAAGAGAAAACTGAGCCATTTGTCCAAACCCATTGATCCCCACTGCTTCTGCGGGAGACTCCAATCCGTGGAAAGATATAAAAGATTTTCAAAAAATTCTATGAGAAAACAAGTGTTATAAGAAGGAAAATGAAACCTTTTATACTAATCTGAATTTTGTAATAACAAATAGCTATTTCATTCTCACCTAAGAGAGCGTTTCTTTTTTTAACTTTTATTTTTTTATTAATTTATGCTTTTAATTGTGGTAACATTCCATTACAATATTACACACTGGACATATGAGAAAATATAATTGTTATGACTTAAGTGAGGAGGACACATTGTCAAAAATAACAACTTCAGGGCTCTGAAAATTTATCAAAACCTAATAATAATTTGTGAAGTATTAATCATTGGAAGAGTGCCAGATTCAAGTGATGGCGTGAATGTATAGTCTTCTTGCCTCTGACAGCACCCATGCCTCCCATTCCCAGCTCAATGTACTGGGAGACATGTAATTTTCACAGTTTGGAGAAGACTGCAAAAATCAGTGGTGGTATTACCACAGGGACAGACTTGAATAGCAGTGGGTTGTTAAACAGTCCACTACTTTTTCAGCTCACAGTGCGGGATTTGCTAGGTAACCACTAGGGAAAACTTATACACTGTATTATAAAAAAATTCTAGATAAAATAATTAGAAAATATGTCTGAAAACTGGATAATATCTTCCACTGTTAGGGGAAAATTATTCAATAAAATTCAAATTTTTAGGACAAGATATTAGATTTACTAGAAAATTATTTTAAAGTAATCATTATAAATGTATGCATATTATTGAGAATACTACATTCAAATACTTAAATGAAAATATGATAGTTATGATAAAAAAAAGAAAGAAATCACAATAGAAAAGCTGAAAACAAATGAACCAGATGGAAACTCTGAGTCAAAAAATATATTAACCAAGATGAAAACTTTGCTAAATTGACTAAAGAAAAAATTGAGTTGTAGGAGAAAGAATCAATGGCATTGAGAATGAAGTAATAGAAACTTTTCACTCTAAAAGGATGTGTTATAAAAAGAGAGGAAAATTAATAGCATCTCAGAGATCTTTGACACAGTGTGAGGAAAACTAACATAGGTGTACATATAACCTGAGAAAAGATGAGGGCCAGAGAGAGGAGTTATGATTCAATGGGTGGAGAGTTTCAGTTTTGCAAAGTGAAAAAGTGCTAGAGATTTTATTGCTCAATAATGCAAACATAGTTAACACTACTGAACTGTGCACTTAAAAATGCTTAAGATATATAGTTAAAATATTATAGGAAAGATAGAAGATACTATGATTCCTCTATATGATGTTCTGGAAAAGGAAAAACTATGGAAACTACAGAAAGTCAGTACTTGGCTGAGTTTATCAGGGAGGGAAGGATTTATATACAAAGCACAGAGAATTTTTTTTTAAGATTTTATTTATTTATTTATACAAGCACTGGGTACAGTCAGAAGTGAGGGAGGGTGAGATAATTCACCAGAGACAGAGCAGAGAGCAGAACAGGCAGACTGACGAAGTACACCGATGAGGGGAGTAGCGGGTGGCAGGAGAGCTCTGTGCCCCATGTGGTGGGGAATCGCCTGGCGGTTGGGGATAGAACTGGTGCTGCAGAGGCTGCAGGCAGCTTTGTAACCCAGCACTCAACCGCTGCACCACCGGGGAGGCCCTAAAGCACAGAAAATTTAATTAATATTTTTAAAAATTTATTTTATGTATTTATGCATATACGAACTGGGACCTAGGCCAGAGGTCGGGGGGGTGGTTGTGAGAGAATTCTCCAGAGACAGAGTGGGAAGCAGAATAGGTGCATCTACTGAAGGGAGCAGCAGATGAGACAGGGAGGTCTGCTGAGCCATGTGGGTAGCTCCGTGGCCTGGCGTGGAACTCATGCCATAGTGGCTGGTGACAGCTTGATAGAGCTGAAATCTTAACCCCTGTGCCACCAAGAAAGACCAGAATTTTAGTTTCACTATTCTGTAAAATTCCATAATGGCAAATACATGTCATTATACATTTACTCAATTTATAAAATACACAGCTTCAAGAATGCATTTTAACTATGGATCTTATGTAAAAGGAGATGCTATGACTAAAAATTCTCCACCCAAGAAGGCTCTTCATACCTGAGGGCATGAGGTCCCCTTCCTTTGGGCATGTGTCCACCAGAGATATCTCATAGAATGGGTATTAAAATATTGCACTCACATATTCCAGCAGTGAAAATTAACAAACTATAGGGAAGCATGATTATGAGGATAAATGACAAAATGTCACAAGAGAGCAAAAAGAGACAAGAACAAAAATGCATATTTTATGATTCCATAGAAAGATAAAATATATATAGGGATAAAATATATATATTTAAAAAGTAAGCAAAAAGAGCTATAATATAAAATATCAGGGGATTAGGAAAAAAAAATAGGCAGCAGTGAGGAGAGAGGACGCAGGAGCAGGGCTGCTGGGGGCTGGAAATGTCTGACCATCATGTAATTTGGAGACACAGGTTCTGCTGACATCTGGTCAGCCTGTATGATGCTTGCATGTTTTGTTGCCTGATGCACAATGATATTAATAGCAAAAAATATTTTAGAGAAAAGCCTTTATAGAAACATGGTTTTCTATAAAAAGCAAGAACTGAAAATTAATGTAGATGGCTTATGTAAAATATTGTACACAAATATGGATGGATTCTATAAATATAATATTGATTGAAATATCAATTAGTCTTTAAAACATTCAAATTCTTACCATTTTTTCCTGATTGTCTATGTAGAGCAGGTGAGAGTTCTTAGAAGTACAGGCTTTTGTAACAGCAGCTGTTGAAGTAGCTAAGCCAATCCTTTGGACAAGGAGCACAGTGATAGGCTGAAGAGAGATTATGAATTATTGCCCAAAAAGTGATTTGAAATTTTGAAAATTATAATTCATTTATTCATATGCATTGTTATAATCATACTTAAGTATATAACATGCACCTCACAGGCTGGGGCCATGAACATAACACACTCAAATACACACTCACATGGGAGGTCCTACTTCTTATTTCCCTTTGTTAGCCCATATTCACAGCAAACACACAAAAACATCCACTCTACATGCCCTGAAAGTCAGAGAAGGAGACTCATTATGTAGAATAATAATGTCATTGGTGATTTCAGCCAATTGAAATACTTATAGTAATTCTAATATTTCTTTACATTGTTGCATAAGAAGTTATACTCTCCTATAATTATTATTTATAGACATGTATTACCTGGTTTCAAAATTTATGTTATCCCCCAAAAAATCTATTATATTTTTCTCTAGCCTAAGATCTACATAAGTGTGTGTGTGTGTATGTATGTGCATATATATGTAAATATATAAATATATAAATTATACACACATAAATATATAAATTTATAAAATGTAATAATATCAAAATTTTGAAAACTGTTATGTACCTGTCTGGTTTGTTGTTATTGGGGATAAATTATTCTGTTCCAGTATTTCAGCATCTAATAAAAAGAACTAAAGAAAATATTATGAAAATTATTATTGCTTAAAAAAGATCACAAAGAGTCCATTTCTTAATTTAAAATTAGGTGTATTGTTTAGCATTAGAATCTGAAATAAATTGATTTTACAAAAAAAAAAAATTAAGTGTTGAAGATTTAAAGAAAAAAATCTCAAAAACCTAAAGGAACAAATAACATAATATCCTAAAATATTTTATTTATCACATTTCAAAAATTAAATTGTATTTCTCATTTAGGAATTTTAGTCTTCTATACGATACCTTTGACATATGAAAAGAAGGTGTATATATATATATGTAAAATACACTATAATCATTCTGTTATGTGACTTTTTTTTAAAGATTTATTTATTTATTATTTATACAAGCACTGAGTACAGTCAGAAGCACAGGAGGGTGAGAGAATTCACCAGAGCCAGAGGGGAGAGCAGAACAGGCAGACTGAGGAAGTACACTGCTGAGGGGAGCAGCGGGTGGCAGAAGAGGTCTGAGTGCCACTTGGGACCCTCGCAGGCACCCGGGGATCGAACCGGCGCCTCAGAGACTGCGGGCAGCTTCACAACCCAGCGCTCAACCGCTATGCCACCGGGGAGGCCCTGTTATGTGAACTTTTAATAAAAGTATAAATATTCCTTGTTATGAAATTGTTACTTTCATATAATAATTTCCATTTGTTAAAAGAAAAATTATAAATCAATATGCATCCTGTGTATTTAATATTAATGACAATTTTTGAAAATACAATCAAATACAGTTTAAAGGCATGTATTAAACTAAGTTATTTTCTGTAATATTAAGAATTCTTTAGAGGGCCTCCCCTCGTGGCACAGCGGTTGAGCGCTGGGCTGCGAAGCTGCCCGCTGCCCTCAGCGCTGGTTCGATCCCGGGTGCCTGGCGAGGGTCCCACATGGCGCGCAGACCTCTCCTGCCGCCAGCTGCTCCCCTCAGCAGTGTACTTCGGTCCTTCTGCCTGCTCTGCTCCCCACTCTGGCTCTGGTGAATTCTGTCATCCCGAGCATCTGACTTTACCCAGTGGTTGTATAAATAAATAAATAAGTCTTTAAGAAAAAAAAAAAAAAAAAAGAACTCTTTAGAGGCAATAACAATCTTCATAGCAAAAAATTTCCTCTTAATCTGTCAAAATTTTTCTTACAGCAAATAAAAAAGAAGCATGAGTTTTACTGTAATGTACACCAAAATCAGTCCGATGATCCCCAGGAACCTAGCAGCAATCTGTCGTGGAGTTAATGGTGAGGCTGCAGGGAGAGAAGTGGAAACACTGAGAAAAGGTGGAGACAAATGTTGACAGTTTACAGACACGAGAACCCGCCTGCACAAGGAGTCACACATGGAAACCTGGATCTCGTCCCACGTCTCCCGTTGTAATCCTAGCCCTGAATATCCCCTTGTGTTTTTGGTGACATAACACTACGTGGGTTGTTGGTCAAAGACTACAACTTCCAACAATGTGGGAATAAAATTACTCCTCACATTTCACATTACAGTGACAAAACAACAAGGACAAGTCAGAGGGAAACTATGTGAGCTTCTTCCCTAGTCCTTCCCCCAGGCCGCACCCGGATGGTGCATCCAGAGCAGCCACACCGCTGTCTACTGAATGTCTTCCCTTTGCACGGGGAGTGCCTGTCATTCCCTCTAAGAGCCTGAGAAGCATTTGCTTCAGTTCTGCAGAGGTTATTTGCTATTCTGTTACTGACAAGGAGCTTTCAGTGCTCTTACCTTTCATTTGCTGTCCTCTGGGGTCCAGGTTCAGCTCTGGGGAGTTCTCTCTCTGTCTGTTCATCTCCGCAGCTGAGGAGCACCACGGACGTGACTCTGATACCTGCAGGTGAGTCTTTAATACATGGTGCCTGTGCTGACCAGCTACACAAGGTAGTCAGTGTGGGTGGAGCGTGAGTTGACTGATGTATTCGAGTACATTTGAACAATGGACAGTGATTATAATTTCCGGAGAACTTAAAAAATGTTTGCCTGATAGAATAGCTTTTAAAATGATGTTTGTGGTCGGAGAAATGAGCAAACACTAATGAAATAAGTTTCATAAATAATAATTTTCTTACTAAATTAAAGCCAGCATCCACAAAAATGTTTTCAAACAGAATAATTGTACTAAAGTGCTATATTATATAGAAAAAATGATACACCGGTTTTTATGATAATTTTTAAATCCTCTTTGGGTTAAAGATTGTATGTTCTGCTTAGGACAGTAGTCATGTTAGCCAGTTAATTTCCTGCAGTAAATAGCTTTCATTTGTGACTTACATTTATATTTAAATGAGTATGAAGGATTACCAAATACTTTTTCCTAAAATGTAGAGTTCTGATAATAATTAAATTTTAAGGAATGCTTTAATATATGAAAATTGATAGATGATACATTAAATTTATTAACATCCTAAGGAATATTGACAACAAGACAAAGAATTTTAAATGACACTTATTTTTACAAGAAATTGACAAATATCTTAATGGCTAAGATAAAAAGCATAAAGTAATTAAATACATCTCATTTAGGGGACAATAATGTTGATTCAGATTTCCAGAAGTATCCTAGGAGTGTGCAAATCAGTGAAAGCAGCTTTAGGAGAATAAACTATTGTAATATATTAAATAAGATAATTTAATATCTTAGTCGCTCTGCAGTGAGTGGATTCTGTAATTAATTCTCACTTTGAAATCTGCAAAATGTGATCATAAAAAAGTTAACTAGTGTTTACAAGGTTAGTTTACTTATCGAAATGGTAATGCAAATATATATTTCTTTGTACAGTACATAATGAAATATTCAATTAGCCTATTGTAAGCTTTCAATATTATTTCAATTATTTAGTGTATTATTTTACATTTGCCATTATTATTTTTGCCATACAATAATACAGCCATGTAACATATTTCATTAAACAGGAGACTGTAGATCTTTTTTGACAATGTTTAATTCTATTTTTTTAACGTTTGATGATAAGAGCTAAAAAATTTATGGATGCCTCTTAATTCTGATTTTTATAAAAATTAAAATTCTTTTACTGAATCTAAGTGTATGAGGAATTTCTTAACACCTTCTTAGTAGACAAATTCATTTTAAGAATCTGTTTATAAACTGAACAAAATATTAAATAATGTATAGATTTATAGCTAACTGATCACAAAATCCAAAATAAACTGTTCCTTGTGATGATGCTTATGGGATTTCACATTAAATTGTATTGATTAAAAAGCTAATTTATGCTTGTACTTATGTACTAGACTAATTATTCATAGTCTGGATTTAAATTTGTAAGAACCCCTATCACATATTTCATATGAATTATTCAAGAGATAACAATTTTCTCTATAATTTGATTGCATATGAGTTGTGACATCATATGTAACATTTGTAATCAATGAGATGGGCCATTAGAGAGGAGAATAGCAACATATGCCTTCTGTTGGCTACAGATGGAATATCCTATAGTGGGAGATCTTTTCACCCGTGGGAACAAGCATACAATATCTGTGGTTTACACAGACTCTCCTGTGAAGGTTCAGAATGCAGCAAGAGTGGCAAACATAGAGTTCTTATCAGTGTCAAAATTTGAACAGGAAATTCTAGCACTTGTCTAGACTGTGAAGACAGTTGATCTGATCACATCTCCAGAATAGAGGAAACTTTTGAGTTTGCAATGTGTCTTTTAGTTTGTTCATTGAAAAATGCCTCTGAGAAATTGTTTTCCTACTGTTTAAATTAATTTTTTTGACCGAGGTATCCCCATAGGGTATTACCACCATACCATAGTGCATCTACCACCATCCAGCCTATAGTCACCACCACAGACCTTATGCCTCCCTCTCTCCTGCTTCTTCCCACCCTCATCTCAGTCCCCCACCCCTTGGTATCTCAGTTTTGTAATCAGATATCAACTTTCTTTATCTCATTTCCTTTATCTATTATTTCAGTTACTTTACATTTAACTCATGTCATTTATAATAAGAATGGAACTTGAAAGAATAATGCTAAGCAAAATGTTTTCCTATTTTAAAAGATATCAGTGCACCAAAGGTTGACTACACTGCTGTTAAATTGCTTCCATCTCAACCAGAATACACTAAAAACTTAGGTCTTGTATCCTATATGCTCTATTTTAAGAGAAGGTTGCTGAATCTTGTGATTAAATGACTTTTCCTTATGTTCTCATTTTCATTTTTAATGGAATGCAATATGTCTAAAATCATCACCCATTAGCAATATGTATTAAATGATCTCACTAATTATTCTGAAAAAATTACTATATCTGCAATTTTTTGTATAATGGTCTCATAATCACCAGTTGTTTAGATTTACCCTGATAAGACTAAATATTTCTTAGAAGGATAAAATATTCAACAACAGTGAATTGTATTATCATTGCATAAATTGAAATATTGGATTACTACTCATTATGCTATTCATTCTTTTATCATCCAATCTTAATAGGCTGCATTATAATAAGAATATTTGTTTTAAATTACAAAAGCCTAAATCTAACTACACAGAAGAGAAAGTGTAATATTAAAAAAATAATAATAATCAGAAAGTAGGACAGTGAAAGCAAACTTTTAATTTATTTATTGTTCCTGAAGTACCATTGTTTCACATCCTTGTTGGGTTCTTAAAGTACAAGATTTTCCTCCAAGTCACCAAACCACTCCTACCACTCCCACCACCTACAGTCCTTCACTGAAGCCCATTGTGCTCTCCCTCCACACCCACAGTCTCATGTCTCCCCTCCTCCTCAGCTGTAGATCTAGGGCCAGATTTCAAGGGTTAAGTTTTGTCTTTGTTTGATCCTTTGGCATTCCTACATTCCACATATAAGTGGAATCAGTATTTGCAAGATGTGGAATATATACAAAATGGATTATTACTCAGCAATCAAAAAATAATAAACTCAGGTCATTGGCAGCAATAGGGATTATGCTAAATGAAATAAGCCAAAAGAAAGATAAAAGTAAACTTTTAAAACAAAAGTTTAATGTCACAAGAACATCAAAAGAAACAAAACATTGAATTTGTTAAGCTTGTTTCAAATAGAATTGTTACTTTCATCATTTTCTGCTTGAATCAAAAAATGAGAATATGTCTATCTGTCATTCTCAAGGGAAATTAATTCTAAGACACTATTGAGGAGATTGAATTAATACAAAGCAAATTTTTAGTTTTATAAAGTCTTAAAATTAGAAACAAACTTTATATTTATATCCTTCCATTTGTACGAATATTTGAGTTTCCCATAAGAATGGCAAAATTGGCTATAATCATATCTATTCATAAGCTAAATTAAGAATTTTCTATTAGCTACAATAAGAATTATATCATTATTTGTTAAGGATGCCAAATGTTGTCACATTGACCAATGTTAGTTTTTTAAAATTTGAAGTCTGTATGTTTACTTTAATATATTCAATTAGATCTCTCATATACATATATCATTATTTGTGCCTATATGTCAAATTATGGGTTCATTTTGTGGAATGTTAATGGGTAGCTAATTTATTGTATAAATATATTTTCCTAATAATGACTATTCTAAAGGTGTAAGAGAGACAGATACTCTGGAGCTTAATAACAAATGTAAATATTCTTTCAATATGATAGTAAAGTGCATTTATTTTCACAAATTTTTAAAATGGAGATTAGCTACTAACTCTAGAAAAAATATTTAATGCTCATTCAAAGTTGATGCATTTATTCTAGAAGATAATGTGGACATGGAGGACAAAAGTGACAAAGAAAAATCCAAATGCATATTAATTAGGTAACATAGTAGTGATAAAATTTTAAATTTCTAAATATATTTATTTTAAAATTCCAGAATGCAAATATGGCATAACAATAAAATTTAAAGGGCAACCAAATAAAATTTTACTCCATTAAATCCTAAGAGTACCAATTCTTTAGACTTTAATGAGTAAAGAATGTATGTTATAAAAATTGAGCATTCTGATACAAACTATTTAAATGATATTATTTTAACAAGTACTTATAGAAGAAGGCACAAATAAAAATATTGTGAGAAAAAAACAAAAATGGAGTTCCAAGATATTGTAGTATTCTTCCCAAAGTAAATGATATATTTTTTAAAGATTTATTTATTTATTTATACAAGCACTGGGTACAGTCAGAAGCACTGAAGGGTGAGAGAATTCACCAGAGCCAGAGC